TTTTTATTTTGGACTTTTATAACAAGATAATGTTTAGAAAAAAAAAATAGATAATAATGTTAATTAAAGATTAATTAACAATTAATGTTGTACATAATAATATGTAGGTACCATGCATGGATAAAATATGTAAAATTGTTTGTTTAAAAATGACTTCGGTAAAATGTTTTTACCCGACATAGTCAAATTGAATCTTTGTATTATAAATCGAGTTGTAAAATTATAAGTCTTAATCTTAATATTGTACGTGCTATTACGCTGCACGCGGAGACACATACCTGCAGCTGAATATAACGTCGGCAACCAATCGGTAATGTGCATGAGCTGTTTGGAAACTCGAGGATTTTCCTGGAAGTATGGAGCCCAGATAAATGACGCGCTCTTAACTCCGCCTTCCCACAACGTGTTCTTTATCTGTGAAAAAATGCCAAACCGATATAACAATCAAAATCTTATATTATTTATTTACGGCGTCATTATATTTTATATACACGGACTGCAGCAATAATCGCCTAATATAACAAACCTAATTGTACACAAATAATTTAAAAGAGACGTACTATGCAATATACGATATTATATTTTTAATGTTTAGAATATTGTTGGAGTAATATAATATTTTTCAAAACATTATTATGGTCATGGATCCATCATGTAGTTTTTCTCACAGCCTACGAATTATGACAGGGATTTCAGTGCAATTTTTACTAATTTTTCCAGTRTTTATACGACACTCATTTTCGTTAGTAGAAATTTGTTTTATGTCTTGTTGAATGGATATAAAACATTTTATTTTGAGTTTATTGGAATCTTGTATACCTATTTAAAGTAATTTTTCATTTMTAATAGGTTTTTATTACTTTTGAACATTTTAAGCGTAAATTCAAACTTAAAAATCGTATTTTATGATTCTTACGAAATTATATAGGTACTTACAAATTTTATCATTCACATCAAATCAAATACCTCCCCTCCAAAAAAAGAAAAAATATTTTACTTTATTGATATTACACAATATTGTATAGAAGTAAATAATTAAATGAATGTAAAATAAAACTCAGTATAATAATCAATTTATGTAAAATATTATTTAACACAATTTTTAAAATGACAAAACAACTTGAAAAATAAAAATGTTTAATTAATTTATAACTTCATAACTTTAAATTTAAAATTTTTACCATTTCAATATTTTGCCACTCCTAAACCTAATTTTTATATTGCCGTCGATCCCTCCCTTAAATACGAGCCTGTTTGTAACCATGAAACTTACTCCTCTGTACGGGAAATTTGAACCCCAGTTTGGCGTTACGCCGACGTTGGGTCCGAAATTCCGACCGGAATTATCGAACGATGGCGACCCGTTATCTGACATAAACACGATTATAGTGTTTTGCAGCATTCTCTTTTCTGTTAGCGCCTCCACTACTCGACCCACGGACTCATCTAGTTTGGATACCATCGCTACAAAGAAATGTTATTAACGTGTTAAGTTTCGTAGTAGGTAGAAATTGATTTTTCTTTTACTTAAACTTAAACAATAAATTGTTTGAATTTAAAAATGTATATAATATTGTACATTATAGTCTTATCTTTTGTTAAGAAATAATATTTTAACCAAAGAACACAATTAATTGTTAATTACTGATGCGGTCTGACGTGGTTACCTGCGTAAGTTCGGCGGTTTGGGTCCAAAATGTGATTAAATTTGTTGACTTCGGATTGCGGTGCCTCTAAATTCTTACCCCTGTTGCCTGTGTGGACGGCCACGTGCGCTAGATACATGAACAGTGGCTGGTTGGCCGGCTGTTCTTTGATCAATCGCACAGCCTCGTCGGTGAACACGTCTGTAGCATACTTGCCAACCACGTCCCATGCGATCGTGTCGTTTCGTCGCATGTCAAACCCGTGGAATTCGCCGAAATTTTGGTACTGTGTAATATTAAAATTGACATTTAAGATAGGTACCTAGGTGATTTTTGTTTTTTATGTAGATCACGAGRGTAGGGTGTCTATCAGGAAAAACTCAAAGCCTCGAGAAGTAGTTGGACCTCGATCAGTCATTTATATATTTTTAATACGCAGGTAACATTGGATTTTCAAGACAATATTGTTAGAAGTTTAAAAATAAACATCTGAATCGTAAACGTATATTCTACATTATTTATGTGAATCCCCTTAATAAATAGCTAGCTCCAACACACCGTTAATATCAATTATCAGCACACGTGAGTTTTTGATTGTTTTAATAACAATCACAATTTGATAAAATAATTATTAAATATGGTTGTGAATTTAATATAGAAAAAAAAATCTTAAAAACACATTTGAAATTGAAACAAARTGTTATATAAAATGTATTGTATACATAAATCACGAAAAATCGCAAATCAGATTTTAAAATGCGGTTAGGTATAACCTTAAATTTTTTCATAGAATAGCTGTTAAGTGAACACTTGGTTATTGAGTACAAAGTCACTGTAATAGATCTGTAAAATTAAAATTTAATAAATCATAGCATACCTATGAAAATCGAGGTTTGTCTAAATATTTTGAAAATTATACCATTTATAGAAAATTATAATATTACATTATTACATTTGGCGAACATTATAAGAATCTAGGATATTTGATTATTTATTAAAAAAAAAAAAAAATGCAAATATTAAAAATGCAAAAAAAAAGTTTCAATACGTTGAATTCCTCGGTAGGTACTTAATTAATACTTAGTGTAAAGAAAGTCATGTTCTAAAATCTAAAGCAATTTTAAATTAATGGATTTTATAACAAATCCACAGCCTTTAAAAAAATCCTTTTTGAACAGGTGTTAAGGACTTATTCGACTTACGACGTCTTGGAGTATATAATCGTAGTAACTGATGTATCCGGTGTAATACCCAAAGTGTGAGTCGAAACCTCGCCGTGTGGGGGTATAGGCTGGTTTGTAGAAACCCAAGTGCCATTTGCCAATAGCTCGAGTCGTGTATCCCAATTCTCTGAGGTATTCCGGTAACAGTTTCTCGGACAGCGGCAAGCCGTTCGGTTCGGCACCATAAGTTGGAGGACCTTGCATACCTGTTCAGCATTTTTATCATTACTATTAGCTCATTTTATTAGCAGTTATTAATTATATAGTTGTTAAACTGAATATGTATATTGGCGTAGATATATGATTTTTACATGGAAGAGGGAATTTAACTTATACAGGGTGTCCCAAAGAGATCTGACAAATGAAATAGCTTTTGTTCTAATCAATATTTTTTTTTAAATTTCTTTTAAATATAATCCATAGACACTTGTGCTACATTTTTAGAATACATTTTTTATTTTTTTATACTGAAAATAAAAAACTTAAAAATTGATAAATTTTTTTTTCGAAATATTCAATATAGCCATTTTGTAAATTTTATTTTCAGAAAAATGAATATGATAAAAACACTTATTTAAGTCAAATGGCAGATATTTAAAAAAAATTTTAAATATCAATATTTTCGTTAGGTAAATTATAGTAATTTATAGTTTATACATCACATATTATTAAAATAAATACAATAAAAAAAATAATT